TCTTCCTCCATCTAGTTTCCACTCGCAAAATTTATTAATCCAAGGCACGCCTTGTCGAAAGCATCCGGCAAATTGACTAACTGTTTAATTAACTAATAGCAACTAGAAGTCAACGACCTCCTCCTCCTCTTCCACTCCCTCCCTATCCTTGGAAACTCGCGTTGGATTCGAGCCATCCCCGAGTCTCGTACAGTTAAAAAAAATGGACGATCTTTCGCCAAAAGATCGTTTCGCTCGCCACGAGGCGAGGCGGATTGGAACGCGAGAGCCTATATAACGGAATTAATGCCGCGAGAAAGTTTCTTATTTAACGCCGCGGCAGATGCCGCAATTGCGTTTAGCAGCCGCTGCTGTTGGTGGACCGGGTTCGATTATGCAAATCGGCAATCGTGATCCTTGGTTCAGCCGCGTTACGTAAGAATCACTAAAACTACCCATAACCAGCCAGATGCTGGTCGAGCCAGAGAGAGACAGAGAAAGAGAGAGAGGGAGAGAGAGAGAGAGAGAGAAAGAGGTGGGCCTCCCGTTCGACCCTTGGTCCACTTACTCCTGCGAATCATCTTCTCCTTCCCACACGGTGAACCGAGTTAAGCCGATATTCTCGAGAAGATGCACGATGCACCGAGTCTGACGGGCGCGGTGAATGTAAATTTTCATTAAAATCTCGGCTCCCTTACGTTACTTACGTTTCCTGCGACAGATTTCACCAGTCTAGCCGGTCGATTACAACCGACTCGTGGAAATTTTCGTTTCCTTTCCACAAATATTTCCAAAATCTAACGTGATGTATCAAGAATTGATTTATATTCTATCAATTAATAGCCGAATAAACTTGTGATCCTAATCTATTTATAAAGAAAAAGTTTTTCCTCGATATACTTTTCAATGTGATCACTTTAAGTCGAGATATTTAAAAAAAAAGAAATCATCGTTACGGAGAAATACGGAATTCGAATTTCAGAGGTCTCGTAAATTAAGCACGTGGTACATGTGCACACATCCGTCAAACAAAAGAAACTTACTTCTGAGAAACTTGGATGGAATCGAATTCACGATTAATAATTTCCTCTCGTTTCCGCTCGTTACACTCCGCCCAAGCCGGGTTCATTATACCACCGTGAACCGGGTGCATCAAGGGTAGTCGCATCCTGCGACAACGCCCCCTCCCCCCCGCGCAGGAGGAGCGTCCTCGAGGCAACCGCAGTGCAGTTGCAATTTCAATGCGCCCGTGCCAATTAATGCGAAGTCGTGTTCGAACTACCGATGGCTCGTGTTAACGACGTTTCCACCATCGAGTGCCAATTATCGATATTAAATGTCCAAATGGAATCGTGCGTCGTTTCGAGGAAAACTTTTTCTTCTCCCTCCTCCTCCTCCTCCTCCTCCTCCTTCCCTCCTCCACCGACTTTCATTAATTCGAGGGAAAGTTCGATTCCTGCCAGCTCGAGAAGGCATTGAACATTTTTCTCCCTCGAATTCGTTTTACTCGTCGGTTCACCGAATTTCCAGCTTAACCCGGGATAACCCGCGTGTTGCACGCGCGTTCGTTACGAACTTATACGAACCGTTATGAATAATCACCGCACTGTTTGTATGGAAAACTGTTGGTGGAACAATGCCGCGCTAACTATCGGCCAAGTTTAATTATCGAGCGCGTTCTCGCAAACTGTTATTTTAATCCCCCCTTCCCCCTGAATCGAACCGAACCGCGTCCTGAAATTGTCTATCCACCTCTAAATTCCGAATTGGATCTGTCTACTAATCGGTCGTAAATGAAAATCGAAAGGATTGGATTATTACGCGGAGAGTTTCGAACGAATCGCTCGTCATCGATTTTCGAAGACTCGTGTCCAGGTTTCGTTGGAGAGGTTCTTCAGGAAGGCAAGGACAAATTTGAGGGGGGTGAGAGTGGACAGAGACAAAGCTTGTCGACGCGAATACGATTCCTCATTTCTAGGAAATTTATTCCCCCGTTCTATCATTTCCAACGGAGGAGGAGTAAATAATGCGTGAACTTTAAACAAGCGTCTTCTCGATAATGTTACTTGTGAAACATTATGCATAATCCAACGATAGAAACCAAAAAAAAAAAAAAAAAAAAAAAAAAAAAAAGAAAAGAAAAGAGGACGCGACAACGTAATGGTTGGAGACAATTGGAAATGGTCCGAGCGATAAAAGGAAAGGGATGAAGGCGATGTGGAAACGTTAGGGGTGAAATGACCTTGAAAAAGATCTCTCTCGACGATAATGATCGAGTCGCGACGTGTACGATATAAATCGAGACTATTGCATCGTCCTCCGACAGAAAATGAAATTACACAAATCCGTATTATAATCCACTTTTCTTTTTTCTTTTCTCCCCCTGTTTCAGAAGGCAGTTCTCGCAGGGAGGGAGAGAATGAGCGACGCTCGGTTGGCCGCTAACAAGTGCCAACGAAATCGTCCTTTACACCGGCGAAATTGAACCTGGGGGAAGAGCTACACGAAGAGGGAGTTGGAAGAGGACTCCCCCGTTTCTCCGTTCGGCTTAATCCGCTCGTGAAACCCGGCCAAGGGGGCGAGAAATCATCGAGCTAGAACGAATTATGAAGGATTCGGGTTTGGAAATTAATCTCGACGATTACCTTTTCGAGAATGCTCGCCGATCAGTTCGTACTCGAAACGTATCTCTCGGTCTAATTGGTCGATAATCGTTTTCGAATCCGATCAGCCGTTTTTAATCGCTCGTATTTCGGTGCACCGGAAGAGATGCGAAGCGCGAGACGCGTGTCAAGGATCCTACGACAACGTCCAAGGAGCTGCGTCCATCTCGTACAGCGACGAATCGATCCGAGTCTAGATTGAATAGCGAGATTGGAGCGAATCGATGACCCGATCCGCCTGGTGTGAGCTCGCCGCCGCACACCTGGGTGGAACAGCGTTGAATTTTCGCGTTGATATGCGAGGTTCGCAAGGGTGAGACTCGACGTAGGTAGAGACGCAGGGAACAATGACGAGCGAGGTGAACGCGACGAAGGTGGGGAGCTCGATGAGCCTCGTATCAACGATATCCTCGTCGCCTGGAGGCTCGGTTTCAGCAGCGATTGCGACCGCTGCCACGGCAATCCCGACTAATCCGTCCACGACAGTAACGGGTGGAGCTGCGGT